AAATCTGGTGGGAGGTGGTTTGGTGTTTTTTTTTTGCTGTTGTCTGCCTGCGGTAATGAAACACGGGGAGGCATTTGAATAAATCATTAGCCACTGTATGTGGCTGATGGGCTGTGCCTGTCTTGGTAGCTTGAAGCATTTTGCAAAGTCTGCATGTAGGAAAGACAGTATAAATGCAGAAGAGCATTAAATGGGGGGGGGGAGTCATTTGATCTGTTTACAAGCAGATGTAGCACTTGGAATATGCAATAAATGGCTAATACCCGGAATGTCACAGCCACCTTGCAGCAAAATATGGCAGTGGGAATTGAAGACTTTTTGACATTAGACTTGTCTAAGTTGCATGTAGGCCCCATTGCGAAGAGGGAAAGCTTATTCCATTTTTGATAAATTATGGCCTTCAGCAGATCCATTTCCTATGTTCCCTAGCTGAGTTTGGATCTCATCTGTGAAGTGTGTGGCTTGACCGGGCAGATTCCTTATTCACTACCATTATTTGTGCTTACATTTCATAAATGCTCGAGAAGTAGATGATGGCAAGAAAACCTCCAAAATTTGGTTTGTAAGCAAACATAGTTTGTTCAGGCCTCAGATGAAGTCATCCTTTTCCTCATGGATGCGCAAGATGGGGAAGGAGGGCGGCTTTCTGCAGGGACTTATACCCTTCAGATTATGTCTTTAGCACCAATTATGCTAATTGTATTGTCAGCCACAATGACCCAGGGCAGAACATTTTCCCAGATCCCAACGTGGTGATAAGTATGACATAAAAATCTATTCTTAAAAAAGAGAGAGAGACTTCCTCCCCCCCTTCTCCCTGACATGTGCAGAAAGTTCACCAAATGCGTTCCTCTTTGATGGCTCAGAATGGTGGAGTCTTAAACCTTCTGCTGTTGAAAAACCCTTCTCATCTGAGTTGTTACCTTAGTAGTCCTACCGTTTGCTACGTAAACTCTGTGCCTGAGTTTCTGGAAGCTGCAGATTTGCAGTACCTCTTGGGGGGGGTCTCATTTGTCTAGGCCAGGGGTAGGCAACCTTGGATCTTTTACGACTCGTGGACTTCAACTCCCAGAATTCCTGAGCCAGCCATACTGAGGGGAAAGGCAGAGGTTTCCAAGCTGAGCCATGCTGGCTCAGGAATTCTGGGAGTTGAAGTCCACGAGTCGTAAAAGAGCCAAGGTCGCCTACCCCTGGTCTAGGCCCAATTCCACATACAGAAGCTGGCTCTACAACATTCTTCTTTGTGCCTGAGGGCAACTGGCTAATTGGGTTACAGGGCAGGTGACAAAGGACATAAGGGCTCTTTTCTTCCATGCTTCACTACCATTCCAGGTCTCCACCTAGCTCTGCCTTCTGAGGAAGTGGACTTTCCCTTTTCTGTAGAGACAGCCCTGTGTGTCATTCCACGTGAACTGAGACTACGCCTTTGAGGCACACATTATTTTTTCCTTCATCACTAAATAATTAGCTCTGAAAACAGAAGCTTGGGGAAGGGTGGATGGCCAATCTATTGAAGTTTTCCAGTCTCTGGCAGGTATCCCAGGAACTAGTTCTATCCTCGGGCCATTGACTGTTTTATTGTTAGGTGGTTGAGTTTTCTATGGTGTCCAGATGATGGCTTATACAAGTTGCCTTTGACATTGTACTCTGATAGCCAACGGGTTTATCACATTTAAATTGAAAGATAAACAGTATTGCTTATAATTATTATTATTTTTTGAAGGAGAGTTGTGGTGAGATTTGCCTCCTGGCAAGCTTTCCTTAAATTTACCTTTTGGGAAGTATGTTTGTTCTTCAGTCCATTCTACCTTCTGCCATTTAATGATTTCATACTATTGTTGAAGGAAAAGTCTTCATCATGGTTCAGTCCAAGCTGGGAATAAACAACATGGTGACTGCTTTAGAAAGAAGGTTGCAGTTTATTGAAGAGGAGAGCCAGACAGAAAGATGGCTCTGGAGGAAAAAGAGAATGAGCACATGTAGGGAGTGGGTTTTTATACCTTCTTGAGCCTTTTGTTGGAGTTGTTTGTGTGGCATGAACTTTGACCTGAGTTTGAGTGTGCCTTTCTGGTATTCTGATGGTGGTGGGTTAATCCTATTATGTCCCAAAGGTCAATCCTGCTTCCCTGTGGCTGTGGCTGATGACTCTTCAATTTTTGGTGTGTTGATTCTAGGGATCTTTCTTCCTAATCCCAGTTTCCTGATTCCAGTCTTTCTGACAAGATTATCACATCTGCAATTCTGCAGACTTGGTTTCTGTTTGGGACAGAGAGACTTGGGGGGCGGGGTTGGTTTCTGCCTTTAAAATCTTTTAGGATAGTGATGGCGAACCTTTTAGAGACTGAGTGCCCAAACTGCAACCCCAAACCCACTTATGCATTGTCGAGTGCCGGGTGGGTGTGGCCCATTGTCTGGGTGTGGCCCACTGGTTGGGCGGGACTCATTGGGTAGGCGTGGGCCATTGGGTGGGCATGGCTGCGGTGTTAACGGCAGACTGGGTGGGATTAAAAAGTTCAATCAATCAATTCCAGCTTTGTAAGATCTTTTTTTCCCCCGCGAGAAGTTGAAATTGACTGATTGAACCTTTTTTTTTTTTTTTGCACATGGCAGCGGAGGCCTAAAGCGAAAAGGTTTTATAAATCCAGCTGAAGGCCTAGGACTGGGGCGACGGCGTGCGTGCCCACAGAGAGGGCTCTGAGTGCAGCCTCTGGCACCCGTGCCATAGGTTCGCCACCACTGCTTTAGGGAAATATATTCTGCCTTTTAAATATTTTCAAAAATATTTCTTTCTCTGGGGGGGGCTGACTTCCCACACTATAAAAAGAGATTACCTGTTTACAGCTGCTCCAGCTAGGCTCATTTTGGCTTCCTCTGTTGTTTCCTGTTGGAGGTCAGAGTGGCTCTTAAGAATACAAAAGTTGGTTGCCTCTGCCTTCTGCCTTCTGCTCTTTTCTAGGTCCTTCTTCACTGGATTCAGATGAAAAAGGTGGGGTGCTTAATGGGCAGCACAGTGGGGAATTTCTCAATTTCATTGGGTTTTGAGTGACTTTCTTGAGATAGTGAAAGAGAGAATGTTAGGTGTTAATCTCCAATATTAGGTTGTTTTTTTAAACCTGGCAGAGGAACATTGTCTCACTTTTGTGGAAGCCAGTATAAGTCCGAGGAACTTTGTCGACCAGAGAAAACACAGTACAGGTAGTCCTCAATTTACTAGAATTCATTTAGTGACCGTTCAAAGTTACAACAGCACAGGAAAAAGTGACTTAGGACCATTTTTCACACTTAACGACCGTTGCTGCATCCCCGAGGGTCATGTGATCAAAAATTGGATGCTTGGCGACTGGTTCGTATTTATGACGGGTTCAGCGTCCCGGGGTCCTGGGATCGCCTTTTGAGACTTTCTGACAAGCAAAGTCAATGGGGAAGCCAGATTCGCTTAACCGGGTTACTAACTTAGCTGCTGCAGTGATTGATTTAACAACTGTGGCAAGAAAGGCCGTAAAATGGGACAAAACTCACTTCAGATTTCTCACTTAGCCACATACATTTGGGGCTTAATGGTGATCGTAAACCGAGGACTACTTGTAGAAAAAAGTATGAACAGCTAAGTAGACCCTCTCTGACCATGAAGAGTATAAGCCAGGGGTCCCCAACCCCAGGTCTGTGGACTGGTACCAAGCCGCGGCATGCCAACAACTGGTCCGCACAAACAAGCAAAGCCCCATCCGTGGGATGCAGGCAGCACACAAAACCACGCACTCTCCCGTCCGTGGAAAAACCTTTCTCCATGGAACCGGTCCCTGGTGCCCCAAAGGTTGGGGACCTCTGGTATAAGCTCTGCTGCTTCTGCCATCCACCGGGTTTGTTCAAGCAAGAGGGTCACCATAATAAGATGGGGGAAAAAAAGGATGGTTGTGTTCCTGGATTTTCAGATGTTCTTTTTCTTTTGGAAGATGCTACAAAATATCTGTTAGCTCATACCAAAGGCCACTGTGCTCTATTCCCACAGATGGGAGGTAACCAGATGCTTTCAGAAACCCCTTAAGTATCATACAAGTTTAATAGGGTTCCCTGTCTTTCCCTCAAGCAACAGTTATTGAGATACAGGCTTCTGTACTGAGGTAATAGCTACCATCGGTCGTATTCTTTATGAAGCTATCTAATCCCCAGTGTAGATCGCTGTACAATGGTGAATTTCATAGTCTCATTGTGTAGGATGTTTGCTGTGCTCTGTCCCAGTTTAATTTGATAAACAGCATGCTCTTGGTTCTGTCAGCGATTTTCCCCTGCCATTCCTGTCTGCGCTGACCTTCAAAATACAGAAACAGAATTTATTTCATTTTTCCATCTCCTTAAAATTAAAGCCATATGTTTATTTGTATCACTACATGGTAATGGTGCTGGGAATTTGTGGCGGTTGTACTGTTGGTGCTTCGGTAGTTTCTGGCAGTGATTGGCTGGCATGCTTTATCTTCCAGAAGAATAAATGACCGGAAGAGCTGGTCAGAGCCTAGAAGGGAAATGAGCGGGTAGACCTAGGGATGGAACGATGGAAAAAGGAGGAACCCAACTGAGGTGAAACCAGGGAAGCCTAAGGAATACAGGTTGTGGACTAGGAAATGGTGCTTGAGCTATGAAAAGGGAAGTTCTCCAGAGGAGTGAATAGAAAGGACAAAAACATGGAAGATGACTCTGAAACATGAAAAGATACAGAGCAGTTTTGGCACCTTTGGTCAAGTTGGATGGAGCTGTTGGAACCCTATGTTGCTTTATCTTGAACTATTCAACCTGGGGATCAAGTAAAGCAAGGGATTTCACATTGGTTCGAAATCACGAGTCAAATCTTTGGCTGTAACCATCTGGATGTTAGACGATGTTAGAATCTGAGCTGTAGTCTAATGCTGCATTGGTTTTGCTACATCTGACATGTTGCCTACCAAATAAAGTTGCTTGTGTAACATACTGGATAATGTTCCTTCATCCTCGTCCTTCAGCAGTGACTCCAGCCCCTTCCCCATCATGGATCGGATGAAGAAGATCAAGAGGCAGCTGTCCATGACGCTGCGGGGGAGCCGAACTGTAGAGAAAAACCTCAACGAACCCATCAATATAGAGGAAAGCAACAGCAGCGATAATGGTGAGTTCCCTCATTGATCCTCAGCCTCCTTGGAGAGAGAATTGATAGCAGATTTTTTTTTCCTGATTTACTTACAATCGTTTTTCTTGGCTGGACCCTTACAGAACAATATGCTAAAAAGCCTACAAGGATAGTGGCTATAGCAGCAAGATCAGGGGGTGCTCGGTAAAGCTTCTTTAAGTGCAAGCACCTTTTATTAATGCAGTTGAAGGTACTAGACCAGTGATGGCGAACCTTTTAGAGACCGAGTGCCCAAAAACTGGCCCCACCCCCACTCTACCCCCTGCCCCGCCCCCGCTCCGCCCCCCCATCCCCTGCCCCGCCTGCCCGCAGGGCCACTCATCACCTCCACGGCCCGCCGCAGATCGCCCAGGCAGCCCAGCAGCGCTATGGTGGTCACGCCCTCTGCCCGCGCCCTGCAGCATCAACTGTGCACGATGGGGTGTGAGGGCAGAGTCTTGTCTATGCTACCTGGCTGCCATGTTCTTGGCTGCACTGCTCCACATGGGCCACGCTCAGAGGCAACTGTCCTTCAGGGGGGCTGCTGGAGAGGAGGGGGTCGCGGGGGGAGGCAAGGCTGGGGCAACGGCACGTGTGCCGACAGAGAGGGCTCTGAGTGCCGCCTCTGGCACCCGTGCCATAGGTTTGCCACCACTGTACTAGACTTTGCTGCCTGTCTAAACTTCTGCTGTGAAAGGGCTAATTTTTATGCACTGGCAAATGGACCAAGAGGATTCTCTAATGTAAATCCTACTAAGTGTTCAGATTTATAGATTTCTAAATAGCCAGATGGAGATGATTTATAGGGACGGGGCTAGTCTTTTAGATAATCAGGTCTCCAGGTATTCAGAAATTAAGATTGGCATTTGGGATTAGGAATGCAAGCTTCCGGGTAGCCAGAATATGGCACAAAATTGAAGGAATGTTTTCTGACCTCCTGGTTTTGTTCAAACTCTGGGCAAGGGGCTCCTTGTAGACACTGAAGCTTCTGGACTGTCTTTGGAGATAGGCCCCCACCACAGGTCCTGCAGCAGTCTGGGTAACGGTGTGCAAATAGCCAAGAATGCATTTTGGGATGGGGCATCCAGGACAGAATGTGATGGTTGCCCTTTGAAAAAGCCCATTTCTTGTGCTAAAGTTTATACAGCTTGCATGCACATTTCTCCCCCTCCTCTCTCACACACACTCATAACACTCATATGGGAGTGTGATGGCAGTTTATTAAGACAAACGAGTTGCAAGCCTGAGTAGCATCCTACAGGGTACAAATTGCTTTTTTTAAAAAGCCCAAAAAATATCCAGTACATTTGTCAGGCTGGGGGTGGTGGTGGTGGAGGACAGATTTTCAGTTTGAAGGATGGGAACTGAAACAGGAGACATCTGGATGCAAACTGTTCATGTTTAACTTCCTTACCTGAAAAACAAACTCAGTGGCAATTTGGGAGCTGCTTTCAAAACTAGCATTTGGAAATTTAAGGAGAGGCGATTGGTTTGCTTCTCAGAGGCTTTCCATTTCTACCACTGAACATTCCCCACCTCCCTCCCCCCAGTTCTAAAAAAAAAGGGACAATTTCCTGAAGCCCTCTGGAAGATAAGGAGGCAGAATTGTGGCTCCTGACTTCTTGAACGTTGCCAAACCTTGGCTTAAGTGGGGCTGTTTTTTGTTAAAAAGACATAAAATGTGCCCCCATTCTGTAGAACGCTTTTCAAAAGAGTTTTAGCAACTTCCTTTGCAAATGGTCAGATAATTCCCTGCAACCTGGAGGCTCTTTTAACCAGCTGTGAAACTAGTTTTATCTACAGAACTGAGCCACTTAGGCTACAGTAATGGACAGCTTTAGAGGTGAAAAAATGATGGTAATGAAGGTGAAGGGGAAAAGGGTGCTTCCTGTTTCTCTCTCTCTGTATGCCAGCCCGAATACCTATTTTCACCATCCTAACCTCATAAATAGCAGAAAATAAAGGACATGTTGGAATGGATACAGAATAGCACAGAAAGCAGTTCTGAGTCTGATCCTGAGCATTAGTGCAGGTGAAAGCAGTGAGTATGACTTAAGATGTTTCTCCAGCATGATGAGTATAGAATCCACCGGTGGGTAATCTCAGCCTTCCTACTCAGTTGAGACTAAGTCAGAAATCTGCCACGCCTCCTTCTGGGCTGTACCTTTCCCAGTTTTGACTTAGTCTCAGCTCAGTAGGACGCAATTAGTTTGGCTCTTCTGGTTAGATTAGGTCAAATTTGATTGGATTAGTTAGTTAATTAATTAATTAATTAGTTAATTAGGCATTTAATAATTGCAATTAATCTGGCATCTCCAAATTCCAAATTTTCAAATTTCATAGACAGATTACTACATTGCTAGAGCGATTGATTGCAGGCCTCAGCAGCTTCGGCTCTAGCGAGCCCCACAGGCTCCACCCGAGCCGGCTTTCTACTCCGTATTCTCGGAGCTACAGCAGCTCCGATCAGCCTGCTTTCTCCGTAACGAGGATTTCCCTTGCTTGGGGATTCCCCCTGGTGCCTGAAGCAACCCGGCTGCTTCGCTGAAGCCCGCCGTCACCGCGAGGCCCTAACGAGCCTCCGACGATCCGGATCGCAGCGGAGGCTGCGCGACGACTAATCGCAAGTTTTTTCCGGTTTTCGAAGCTCTTGGAGCGAAGGAAGGGCCTCTGCATAATTGACAGAGCTCCCTCAGGGCCAGCACGAGTACCTATTTTCACCATCCTAACCTCATAAATAGAAAATAAAGGACATGTTGGATGGATACAGAATAGCACAGAAAGCAGTTCTGAGTCTGATCCTGAGCATTAGTGCAGGTGAAAGCAGTGAGTATGACTTAAGATGTTTCTGTTGCACTAAAAAAAAAAAAAAAGCCATAGGCATAATCCAGGACAGTAGACATCTGGAAATTCATACAACCCATCTTGTCTTTGCCGGGTCAAGGCTGCCTGTGGAATAGTGAGGACTGGAATATTGACCCTTCACTTCTAAGAATGCAGCTGAGATTCTGAAGAAATTGCTAAAGTCCTGAAAAGCTACATCAGAAGATATATTTTGTGATTTGAAACAGTGCAGCAAACCAACATTACTCATTGTTATACTATAAATATTCCAATCTCAAATATATTTGAGGGGTGGGATGGGATGGGGTCTCCGGTTATTAAGATGGTAGGGGGAAGGCTGTCTCACTCAGGTAAGTCCTGTCCCTCCATTATATCCCCAGTCCTGCCCCTCAGCTGAGGGCTGTCTTTTGAGTTTGATTTCCATTCTACTTTGATTTGTGTTTTGTTTTTCCTTCCTTCATATTTCTCTTTTTTTCCCGTTTTTTTCATCTTTCTGTTTATATTGGCCTCCCTTCTTCTGTGGCGGCATCAATCCCTTTGTTTATGTGGTGGCCACTGTCTGTGTGTCGTCCCGCCCCCCTCTGTGCTTTGGTTCTTTACTGTGGGCTGTTTGCTCGACCTCTTCTTTTGCTTTCCTCTCTTTCATCCATCTGTCTTTTCCATATCCCTCCCTTTGGGATGTTGCTTGGGGTTTCCCCTTGTCTCCATTTTACCCTCCCTCCCTCTGTTTATACTTCCATTTTTTTTGTGGTGGGTGGAGATGGATATTCTTCCTCTACTGTTCCATTTTCTGGGATCCCACCTTCCTTCTCCCTCTGTTGCTGCTACTTCTGCTTCTCACTGGTGTTTCCCCTCCTACCACTCCCCTTCTCTCCTTTTGCTGATGTTTTGTTCTTCACTGTCCCGACACCACATTCCCCGGCCACCTGTGTCCCCCTCCACTTTTCCTGCATCTCCCATATCCCTCCCTCCCATGTGTCTGTCTGTGGGCTTTCTTCCTCCCCTCCCTCTCCTGCCCCCCAGGCCCCACAGTGAAGAGTGTGCGTCCCAGCACCTCCCGCAGCCTTCACGCCTTCCTGCACCACTACGCAGGCTCCTTCCACAGGCCCCGTCTGGCCGTCAGCCGCAGCCTGAGCTCTCACCTCGGCCGATTAGGTGACTATCGCACCTCCCACTGTGCTGCCAGTAAGGGCTCCCCATTGTGGGTTGAGGCCTCATGTCAAGCCAGTCTGGCTTCAAATGAGGCTTTTCGGAGTCCCAGTTAACTTATTTATGCACCTGAGCCTCTTGTGTCGAGGTGGGGTATATCAGTTCCTTGAGTCTGGAGTCTGGGGAACCCATAATCTGGCATTTCTGCTCCAGGATGAGGTTGGTAAGGAAGCTGGAGTCTCCGATTGCTGGGTCTCACTTGAAGAGAAATGAGCCTTGGTCTTATCCAGTGCATCATTCTGAATCTGTACACTTTATTCTGGCTGGTCTCACTCACTATGCTAATGCATAGTATGCTCTGTTAGCCCAATGCATGACACTTGCATTACAGCAGGTGTTGTCTGTAAAGCTAAATGTGGCTTTTTTCAATAATTATAGTTCAAAATCCTGGCTTAGCATAATGTGTGAACCCGGCCATGATGTCACATTTACTTTTTATTAATTATTTTTTCCTGGGCTATTCTAAGTGCCATATGCCAGGCACATGCTCTATATAAAATGGTTCTGAGCAGAAATTGATTAGCACAATCTTCTGTGAAAGATGAAAGATTGAGGTGCTTTAGCAATAAAGTGGAGATCATACCCCTATGGTGCTCTCTAGAGAATGTGGACCAGTGGCCTTACTCAATATACAGTAATTTTAAATCAGACTTTCCCAACCAGGTAGCTTTCAGAAGTATTTGAGCTGTAATTTAATTCAGTTTAATTTATTGGGATTTGAAACTGCCTGATTCAAAAAAAAAGAAAGACTCTTTTGGCTTATAACATGTAACAATGGCTATGGAAGCTAGGAATTTGGGGAGTTAAAAGCATTAGGTCGGAAAATATTGTTTTGGGTTCTTGAGATTATTACTGACATGAATTCAACAAACGCTATTTTTAAAAAATACTGAAGCAGATCTCAAGGTTCAGGTTGTCTTTAAAAAAAATGCACAGAATCAGAGCCAGTGTAATCCTGTCCCCAGAGCAACTTTCCTAAATCTGGTGCTCTTTAGATGTGCTGGACTACACTTTCCAATGCCTAATGCTGTCTGGGGAAGATGGGTGATGCTATAATTTCTTGAGGGCATCATGTTGAGGAAGGTGGGCCCAAAGTGGTACATACTTTGATTGTCACGTACTTAAACATTCTACTGAACATTTAGAGGACTTTTGACATGCGATTGTGGAACCAACATAATTATAAGTAATGCAACTAGTCAAAATACGTTGGTAGAAGTGGTTAATAAATTAGGGGATAATTGGGTGTATATTTATATTTGATGATTTAAATGTGATTTTTATGCTGAAAGCCACCCAGAGATGGGTGGCAAATAAATTAAACAAACAAACAAACAAAGTGGACCGAGGGAGATCAGTATATGTTATCCCATTTTCTGATCTTACCTATACCCCTGTAGCTGAGTAAGACAACTGAGTAGGTTGTAGAACTTAAGATCCTGCTAATAAAGGACAATTACATGGAACAGGGAAAGTCTAACGAAGGCTCTTACATGTTGCAGTAGCTTTTTATATGCAGGGAACCTCTTAAAATTGTGATCAGTCTGAAGTAATGAATACCATCTATAGCCAGGTAGTCTTCGTTTTCTTTGAGGAGGTACTCCTGGTGGCAGCATGTCTAAACCTTCTGGAGAGGTGGAATTGAGATTGCCAAAAAGGAAATTCATTGTTGGGTTGCTGTATGTGGAACACTCAACAACTGGTTTCAAATTGAAAGAAGGGTATTTATTTATCTAAAACGTTTATGACTTTACATAAAACATTATGCTTAGGGGTTGACAGCAGCCAATTCCCAACTAATGCCCACCAATTGTAATGGGATTGCAGTTCTCAGACGTTTTCAGTAAGCATAGTCTGTGGCCTGGGAATGATGGGACTTCTAGTTCCAACACATTGGGCTGACCCGTTCTTCCTTCTGCAGCCCAGCTTTACAAACATTAGAGGGATTGGGTTGAGCCCTCTCTGCCCACATTGTCTTCATCTACATTTCTCCTTGGTGCAGAGATTGTTCATGAGGACCTCAAAATGGGTTCGGATGGTGAGAGTGATCAGGCATCAGGAACATCATCAGATGAGGTGCAGTCTCCAGTCCGAGTGCGCATGCGGAACAACCCAGCGCGCAAGATTTCCACTGAGGTATGTGGGTGCTGGCTGGTGAGGATGGAGGGACAGCTTAAGGTGGGAACAAAGAGTTCTCTGTCTCCCATTATAATGGGCTGTTTTTGTATGGAGAAATGTGAAAGAAATAAAGATGTCTTGCTTCTCAAGTTACATTTTCTGCTTTTACTCCCCAAAGTTAACTTCAGTGGTTAGGGAATGCAAAGTCTACCCCAAGTAACCTCAAATAAAGTAAGACAAACATTTGATAAATGGGTGGATTTTGTACAGAATTTCTCGCCGGGTTTGCGTTGCATGCTAGGCTAAATTAAACGGGGGTCGATTTGTTAGTGGTTTATTTGTGTCTGCTATTTGTTAACCCAGATAACCGAGTTTTAACATATTGTGAGTCTAACCACTCAGTAAAACTTGATCGTTCCTTGTGACTTCTTTGTATATGGGTTTGTGAGATAGCATAGAAAACTCCTACCAAGATCTCTCAGTCGCCCCCAAATGTCCTGAAGAATCCAAAGATTATTGATGCGCTTCTCAGGACTTACCTAGACCAGTGATGGAGAACCTTTTAGAGACCGAGTGCCCAAAACCCGCCCCCACCCGCCCGCAGGGCCACCCACTGCCTCCACAGCCCACCGCAGATTGCCCAGGCGGCCCAGCAGCGCCATGGTGGCCACGCCCTCCACCCATGCCCTGCAGCAGCATCTGCACGCGACGGGGTGCAAGGGTGGAGTTGTCCTCGCTGCCCGGCTGCCATGTCCTTGACTGTGCTGCTCTGTGTGGGCCGCGCCCGGGGGCGACTCACCTCCGGGGAGGGCTGCTGGTGAGGAGGGGACCATGAGGGGAGGGGGGGGCTGGGGCAACAGCACATGTGCCCGCAGAGAGGGCTCTGAGTGTCCCCTCTGGCACGCGTGCCATAGGTTCGCCACCACTGACCTAGGCTTTTCTTTGCTTAGATTCCATACTGGTTAAAGGAGAGGTTGTGATTTTTTTCGTATCAGACTAGTGCAGGAGAAACTGGAGACTGTCTTCTGTACTTATATCCTGTGCATTTTACTATTTGTCAGTCCGTCAGTCCATCCATCCATCCATCCATCCATCCATCCATCCATCCATCCATCCATCCATCCATCCATCCATCCATCCATCCATCCATCCATCCATCCAGGCTTCTAATTTTGGGAGGATTTAATAAAAAAGCTGACTAATTTTTCCTTGCTTCTCAGGATATTAACAAGCGCCTGTCACTCCCAGCTGACATCCGTCTGCCCGAAGGCTACCTGGAGAAACTGACCCTCAACAGTCCTCTCTTTGACAAGCCCTTGAGCAGGCGGTTACGCAGAGTCTCTTTGGTAAATAGGAATTGTCTGTCTCTCCTTTCCACTTCTCAGTGTTTCCCCCATTCACTGGTGCGGGACCCAGTACTAAGTACTACAGGCCAGCAACTGCTGCTGTTGCTGAACTCCCCTAAGGACCCTGGGCCGAAAAGGGCAGATCCATTACACTTTGTTCCTTGGTCTTTTTTCATTTAGTCAGAGATTGGCTTTGGGAAGCTGGAGACATACGTGAAGTTGGACAAATTGGGAGAGGTGAGTGTTGCGAATTGGCCTTTTTTCAGACCGGTCAGAGGTAAGAACTCAGGGCTGGATTTTAGTTTGCTTGACAAAAAATGGTTGTTTTTTGTTTTAACATGCATTGGGTTTTGCTATATAGGGGCTCAGGATGAGTTCAGCTCCCATCTTTTTATCCTCACGTTTGGTCTTGGATCTTGCCCGCCTTTTAATGGTGGAGAACAGAATCCTACAGTGGGTTGTTTTCTTAACATCTCTAGTAGCCATGACCAAACGTTCATTGTGGGGAGAAAGCCCACCTCCCAGGCTTCAATCTTCTTCCGTGTTCTGATTTTGCACACAGCTTCCAACTGCACTATACTTTCACCAGGCTTGTATAGTACATGAGCAAATTGTTTGGCCTATATATTCTATTGGATCTTTTATTCTAATATTTTTTTCTAATTCCTACCATCTTGGTAACTACCTTTAGGACTTGATTTGCCCGGGAGAGTCGATGGAGTCAGAGCCCTGTATTTGGAAGTCCTTGAACAGAGAGCCAGTTTCTCTTCCTTTCCCTTCCCCCAAGCACATGCACTTGGAATTATATTTTTCAGTTACTATCCAGAGCTCTAATTTTACCCCATTTCGTCTTTGAGGGTTTGTCGAGTGGCTTATTAATGACCTACTTCAGGGTTTTGAAGGATAAATAAGAAAAGCATTAACTGTTTTGAAGTTATAAAGTCAGGAACAGAATATTTCCCATGTATTCCTGGTCAGGGACTCTCCTGCCCTGATAAAACTGGACTGGTTACAGGTATCTTTCTACCAGTATGTGCACTTAGTGCTATGTCTAGTTTATTGTTTTCCAAACAAGCCTGGGAGGGGCTTGCAAATCGAAGTACTGGATTCACGTATTTGGTGCAAATTGGACTTAGTTATCACTGTGGCTTTCGAGAGTATGAATGTGAAGTCCTTGGTACTCTCTGAGCTTGGCTGTTTGCTTGCAGAAATTTTATTACCTGACTAGGTAACATCATCAGTGTTAGTGAGTGTGGGGTTTGCCCTCTGTTTATATGTAGCTTATATTTGCCAGTGTCAACGGGCATGCGGTTTTCTCACCCAGGAAAGAGGAAACCCCACACTCTCACTGATGATGTTACTTAGTCGGGTAATGAAACAACTAAGCTCACAGACATGGACTCCACAGTTCAACCCTGAGTCATGTATATTTTCTTCTGAGTATAAATGTCACGGCCGCTAATGAAATGGTAGCAAAGAAATTGGGTGAACAGTAGATAAAAGAGGGATTGTTCTCATTGAAATGATAAGTTTGTCTGATCGGTACAACTTCAGACATAGGGAAGTTTAGGGAAGTTTAGGCCTGGGAAGATAGGAATTATTAGGAGAAGGAGCACCAGGGTGGGATGAGGATGAGAAAAGGGAATGAGAGACAATGAAAGAAGACACACATTGAAATAATTCTCACTTTGAAGCTGTAGTTTTGTATGTTAAGCTTGGGGTGAAATGCAAGAACTGAGGGATGGGCTGATGCTTACAGAAGATGAAAGAATATTTATTTATCAAAAAGTATTTAATCAAATTTGTATACCACCCATCTCACTGTCTAAGAGACTCTAGCTGGTTTACAAGTACCATGTTGGGCTGTTAGCTTAAATTCTGCCTCTTCTACATCAGGGAACCTATGCCACTGTCTACAAGGGAAAGAGTAAACTCACCGACAACTTGGTGGCCTTGAAGGAGATCCGTCTTGAGCATGAAGAGGGCGCCCCTTGCACAGCCATTCGGGAAGGTATAAACCTGTAGCCACTTCTTCCAGGGCTTTGAAAGAATTCTCGTATTATCTTGTCTTTTAACAGAAACTGTGGGAAGGTATCATTTGAAAGAAAAGAATCCTGAAAATTGGTTGGCTTGATGATAGAATTGCACCACTTGTAAGCTGCCTTGAGAACTCGATGTAGCTATAAAGTAATGGCAGGTTACAAGAATCTGTAGACCTCAAAAGCGAAGAAAAGTGTAGCATTTATACGAGCCAAACAGCCATAACTGTACATAGAGGAGTCATTTACCAGACATTTAGTTCAGTCATTTCTAATCCCATATTCTTCAGATACGGTCCTGCTGGCATGGAATCCCGAGCATTAGAGCGTGTCAAAGCAGGGAAGGCTGCTGTAGATGGGCATTGAGCTTGCAATAGAAAATTCATAGTAAGAATGTCTGGATGAGTTAGATGTGTAGAGAGACAGATCTACAAGTGACCTTTTCATCTTTCCATCTCCTTCAACCACAAGGGTTGAATGAAAAATAATTAGTATTGTCACTTGCCAGCAGATGGCAATACGGATGTGTTAGAAACTACGATGTGTCTGTTCTTTCCATTCATTGGCGGGAAGTTGCTGTGAAGACAAACAGCTGGGTTGCTGTTTGTGAAATAGAAGCCTACGGTCAGTATTGGCTTTAAACAACCTGCTGAACTGTACTTTTGACTGCCATTGCTGAGTGTAGGTCAGTGGTTCTCAACCTTTTTAATGCCGCGACCCCAACCGGTCGTAAGTCGAGGACTAAACCGGTCGTAAGTCGAGGACTAAACCGGTCATAAGTCGAGGACTACCCAACCGGTCGTAAGTCGAGGACTTTCCCTGCCCGGGAGCGCCGCGCATGCGTGGTTCTGCCCCCTGCGCCGGCCGAGGCGTAGCTGGCAACCGGCAGAGACAGAGCAGGCTGATCACCAGCTGGCCCAGCCCAAGGGAGGTAAGGCACCCGCCGGAAAAGGGGGAAAAAATGGCGGACAAAAAAAATGGCGGACAGCCTTGCTTGGCGACCCCCATGAAATGGTCGATCGACCCCAAATGGGGTCCCGACCCACAGGTTGAGAACCACTGGTGTAGGTGATGAATGCGTTGACATGAATATTGTGTGCTGCTGGGCCAAAAAATGTAAAGATAGTGAATTGAGAAATGCTGATTTGTACGATCAAGAACAAAGCAGACCTATGACAACAACCAGGTTTCACATCAAAAAAATTGATGAACTGATTAAGGACAATTGGCAGATTAATCAAAGAGAAATTTCAATCAAGCTTGGCGTTTCATGTGATTCCCTGTATTGATGTTCTTCAATACAGCTAGTCCTTGACTTATTACCATAATTGAGGCTAAAATTTCTGCTGCTACGCAAGGCAGTTCTTAAGTGAGTTGCACCTCATTTTACAACATTTTTTTGTCACAGTTGTTAAGTGAATCATACAGTTGTTAAGCAAATTTGGCTTCCCTCATTGACTTTACTTGTTGGAAGCTGGCTGGGAAGGTTACAAATGATAACCTGGGGTAGTGCAGTTGTCATAAATACATGCCAGTTGCCAAGTGCCTGAATTTTGATCACATGACCATGGGAAGTTGTTGAAACAGTCGTAAGTGTGAAAATCAGTCATAAGTCACTTTTTTCAGTGTCGTAACTTTGAACAGTTACTAAACTAATGGTTGCAAGTCGAGAACCTAACCAGTATCAGAAGATTTGTGCATCATGGATTCTTTGCATGATGATGGCAGAGATGAAATTTTTAAGAGTTGAAATTTGCTAGCAATTGACTGTCAGGCCCAAGCCCAAAGACAACGCAGCAAAATCTTGCTTACACCTAATGGACAGAATCTTGCCAGACTAAAGCTATAACCTTCTAACCTAACCTTACCCCAAACTTCTTCCTCCTGCCTTCGGCCAGCTTGGGATTGTGCAGTCTCTTAATTTGATCTTCTTCTGGAATGTACTGCCTCCTCCCTGGGAAACTGTGGTGCTGCTGAGACACACAGACACACACAACACACACACACACACACACACTTTTTTTTCTCCAGGTGCACATTCTATAACATTGCCACACAATGAGAATGAAGGTGGGGAATTTCTTCACAGCATCACAATAGCTGATGAAACGTGGGCTCACAATTATGACCCAGAAATAAAGCCATGGAAGATCATCACATAATTTCATCTTTGGGGGGTGGAAAGTTCAACCCGGGTTTGGCAGGAAAACTCATAGTTCCAATTTTTGGGGAACGGGGATGGTGGTGTTTTTGTGCATTTTCTCGAATCGGGTAGTGTTATCAATTCAGAGTGCTACATTGTAGCACTCAAAACTTTGGAACAACAATTCAGGAGAGTTCAAAAGTAGAAGAAGGAAATTTTGCAGCCACATGACAGCGCTAGACCTTCTACCTCAGTTGCTGTCACGTTTTATCCCCATCCACCATACAGTAAGAGTTGGTGTCATACAACTTCCACCTTTCCCCATATTAAATTAAAGGAATACCTTCATGGGCATCTTGACTCCAAAAGTAGAAAGGATTGTCAGGACAAAGTGTGGTGTTCCTTTGTGACAGTTTTAAGAAGCTTGCCATCATTGACAGAAGTGGGTAGCAAATGGTTAGGTAAACTCAAGTAACAAAAGAATTTATTTCAGGGATCATTTTCCTGCTTTATTTATAAAATGAATGAATAGGGACATTTCAACTAAAATTGTAGAAGCAGAACATTACTTTTTATGTGACACTCATATACACGTAGTTCTCGACTTTACATCAATTCATTTAGTGACCGTTCAAAGTTACAACGGCACTGAATAAAGTGACCTGTGACTGTTTTTTCACTACTGCAGCATCCCCAGGGTCATGTGATCAAAATTCAGACGCTTGGCAACTGATTCATATTTATGACAGTTGTAGTGTCCCCGGACTCATGTGATCCCCTTTTGTGACCTTTTGACAAGCAAAGTCAATAGGAAGCTAGATTTATTTAACAACCATGTTATTAACTTAACAACATAGAATAGAATAGAATAGAATAGAATAGAATAGAATAGAATAGAATAGAATAGAATAGAATAGAATAATAACTTTATTGTCACTTTGAATGTATACTAATCGGCATACATTAAAATGAAATTTCGTTGCATACAGCTCTCAAAGGATCACCACCTCCGATATACACTACATAAATATGACAAAAATAAATAAATAAATACAGAATTATGCATATACCCACATATATGACACAGAGAGACAACACAGTCTAGCTCGGATTATGTATACATGTGCATGGTGAGAAAAACGAATCTTGTGAGTTTACCAGACGGATGGCATAGGGAAGAAAGCTATTACAGAAACCTCCTCCCAGAGGGGAGCAACAGAAACAGACCGTAGAGTGGGTGTGTGGGGGTCTCTAACAATGCTCTGAGCTCTAAGCACATAGCGCTTATAAGCAGCATCCTGAATACCAGGGAGTGAGCTTCCTATGATTTTCCCAGCTGTCCTTACCACTCTCTGTATGGACCTTCTATCTGAGGCACTGCTGCCACTAAACCAGACAGTGATGCAGTTTGTTAAAAGTGCTTTCAATCGTGCCTCTGTAAAAAGTGGCCAGGACAGAACGAGAAAGATGTGCTCTCCTCGTCCGACGCAGGAAATGCAGACACTGGTTTGCTCGCTTCACTAAGGATGAGGTGTGGAGAGACCAATTCAGATTGTTAGTTATCTGCACCCCCCCAGATACTTAATACTGTTGACCACCTCCACAGCTGCATCCTTGATACTGAGTGGAGTATGGCTCTTTCTGAAATTAGTGTTTCACTTAACAACTGTGGCAAGAAAGGTCGCAAAATGGGGGTAAAACTCATTTCACAGATGTCTCGCCCTAGCAACAGAAATTTTGGCCATAAGTTGAGGACTACCTGTATTCAGAATTGGCTGCAGTCTTTCTGCCAACATGCAAGAGATGTATTGCTAGGCTGTCAGCAGGACCCTAAATTTTCTAATGCAACTAAGGCAGAGGTTGACACCCATGTTAAACAGGGCAACTGATTTCTCAAACTGTTAAAAAGTAGAAGAGCTTAGGCATGCAGTCACGTGGAGAAATGAAAGAGCAAAGAAGCAAGCCAACGGGTACACTGCTTAGCAAATTCTCTGTTGAGCTTCAGCAGGCTCTCAGCAGATGGATGCAACCCTTTCATCCTGACCATTCTTCCCTAAACCCCTCCAGGCTCAGGGGCCTTATAATACAATTTATGAAGACAGATCTCCCTCCCTTTGTATCTGCACCAGGAGGAAAGAAAGAAGATTGTGATAGCAGAGAGGCAAAAGGGCCAATTTATATAGCTAAGCATACCTGCAGTTATATCTACTTCTGCCCTGGATTGCACTTCCACTCATCTACACAGAGAAAAGTTGGTCTTAACTTTCTCTCCCATAATTGAATTCCAGGCTAGAATACTTAACTTTAGAGCAGGGGTGTCAAACTCGCAACGTCACGTGAGGTGTCGCGACGTATTGCGACTTTTTTTGGCGGCAATGGGGTGGGCACAGTTTCGCTATAATGCATCCGGCAGTTTGACACCCCTGCTTTAGAGCAATGCAATAGATAGCTTCTTAAGTATTATTTTAGGCTCACAGGAATTCTTTTATGTTATGTTCAAATAACTCTCTCAAAGCCTCATATTTGGTACTGATTGCATTAGAAGTGTTTGTGATGTAGATCTCACGTCTCCCATCTCTCTCTCTCTTACAGTTTCACTTCTAAAAGATTTGAAACATGCCAATATAGTGACCCTGCACGATATCATCCATACAGAGAAATCCCTGACTCTTGTCTTCGAGTATTTAGTGAGTATGTGGAGGAGGGGAGGGAATGCAATAAACTGGAACACAACTTTCTTTCTGTGTGAAAATCCGGTTCTCAGTAAGATTCAGAAAATTAAGAGTCGCCGTCCTCTTTCCTTATGTGCAAGCTGCCACTTTGGTTTGAAAAAAAAATGATGGTTTTTAAACCCCAGGCAGTAGAGACATCCTTCTGAAGACTTCTGGAAATTGTAGTTTTCTGGGTTCAAGTACTCTCGAGGGAATTCTCTGCACGTTTTTGGAACAGCCAGTTCAGCAGGAAATGTTGTAGCTTGGGTGGAAACTATAGTGGTTCTCAAAGGTTAAGTTCCAAAAGCTTAATAAATGTCACGATAACGCCTCCTCCTAAGAAGTGTTTCATATATGTGATCTCTAAATAAAACAAGTGTATATTGTAGATCTCTGTGGTTGCTTTCTTGCTTCACGTGGGAAATTTCGGGGCGGAAGGATAAGTGGCTTGTGATGCTTGCTGGTCAATGCTTCTTGGTGGAGCTGTGACTAAAGAATTGAATCAGGGACCAGCTTCCATCAAATCCCATGCTTCATTTTTTCTAATCCAATTGCCTGTATCTATAGGGGGAAATCACCATAGTGCCCAATCAAGCTCATTCCACTCCTTGCACATGCCCTCATTAAGGTGAGTCAGCCTGGGAACCAGCTGGCATGGAGTATCTGATGCAGCCCTCCCTCTTGCTCCAATTCAAGAATATTGTTGAGGCGGAGGTGAACGCTTGGGGTTCTCAGATTGCTGTATTGGTCCATTATGTCTTGGGAGGAGCGGGAACAATATGCAAGGCATCTTCCAGCTATAAAGCTGGGTCTACCAGTCTGTGTTTGCTTAGCCAGCATTAAGACCCTCTGATTTAATTGTTGAACAATATAGTGATAGTAATAAAGCTGGAAGGTCATCTAGTCCAACCCCCCGCTCAGGCAGGAAACCCTATACCATTTCGGACAAATGGCTGTCCAGTCTCTTCTTAAAAACTTCCAGTGTTGGAGCATTCACAGCCTCCGGAGGCAGGTAGTTCCACTGATTAGTTGTTCTAACTGTCAGGAAGTTTCTCCTTAGTTCTAGGTTGTTTCTCTCCTTGGTTAGTTTCTATCCGTTGCTTCTTGTCCTGCCTTCAGGTGCTTTGGAGAATAGCTTGACTCCCTCTTCCTTGTGGCCACCCGTGAGATATTATTATCTTGTTGAAACATTAAGTTAAATATGACCTTGTTGAAACATTAACTGTCTCAGGGATAAGATCCTGTCCTTCTCTTTCACAGGATAAAGACCTCAAACAGTATCTAGATGATTGTGGGAACGTAATAAATATGCACAATGTGAAGGTAAGAGTTCATTTTTAATGTGGCTGACCCTTTCCTTTCAGCGATTGCTTCAGCTTCTTCAGTGATAGAAGAATTGCTTACAGTGCCAGCAAAGTCTGAGATTAATTCCAGATTCCAGTGGGGGATCCGATGTGTTTTCTTGTAATGGAGGACAATATCCTTAGTTGGCTTCCTGCCTTCCACTCCTTTCAACAGGCAGGGCTGCAAATTCCTTGCTTTCCCTCTAGGGCTGTGGTGGCGAACCTATGGCACGCGTGCCACAGGTGGCAAGCAGAGCCCGCTCTGTGGGCACGCGCACTATCGCCCCAGTCCTAGGCCTTCAGCTGGGTTTTATAAAACCTTTTCGCTTTAGGCCTCTGTCGTCGTGTGCAAAAAAAAAAAAAAGGTTCAATTAATCAATTTCAACTTCTCGCAGGTAAAAAAAAGATCTCGCAAAGTTGGAATTGATTGATTGAACTTTTTAGTCCCACCCAGTCTGCCGTTACCACCGCATCCACGCCCACCCGGCACCCGACGATGATACATAAGTGGGTTTTGGGTTGCAGTTTGGGCACTGGGTCTCTAAAAGGTTCATCATCACTGCTACAGGGGGAGAGAGAGAGCAACCTCCAGGCTGGTTTTCTGGTCCCTCTTGCTCCATTTCTCAGGGAGCTCTTGCTGGATTATTCACGTATGCTACTCTGGAGTTAAAGATCATTTATCTCAGGGCTCTGCCTTGCTACTTTTGCAGGAGGGATGACTATTCACCCTGGTTGCAACCAACATTCACAGGAGTACCACTGTCAACAGATATTAGTGCATAGCGTTTTTCAGGGCATGAAGTACATGTTCACATCTCCTAAGGATAGTAGTGGATGACCACTGATTCTCCACTCTTGATGCTTGGGGGAGTGCTCCCTCCACCTGGAATGTGAAGTTGGATTAAGCATGTCATCGTACAATTCTTTGCTCCTCTCATCCTCTCTGAGTTCTGAAATGCGAGTCCTGCTCCCCTCAAAGTTCACCTCATAGTCACATCACAGATGGTTGGAAGAGAAATCAGGAAACTTCCTCTTGCTCAGCTGCCTCCACTTTTTATGGGTAAACTGGTGTGCAGGAGCTGTTGTCTTAAACAGTTGTTTCATTAGTGACCCCGGTCTTTCTAAGGGGGTCTTCTCCCTCTTTGCTTAATCCGAGGCATCTGGGCAAAACTGCAAACTGGGCCACACCTGGAAGATTGAGAGGGCAGGAGATGACGAGGGAGGGATCAAACGTGTCATCAGCTATGAGTCCCTGCACGCCCACCAGAGATCTAAGTCTAGTCCACTTTGAACTCCTTTCTTAACTCCTGCTAAATCCCCTTGACCTTTAGTAGTTCAGATTGTTGGTAGAGAGCTTAAGCTTGCGATACATCTTTATAACTCATTTGAACTGCCTGAATGTCCTGATTTCCTTGATGCTTGACAGGTAGTAGAATGTCTTGCTGCTTCATGTGAATCAGTTCCATCCTTTTCCTCTAATAGGGAAGCTGGAGAACCTTTAGCTGAAGAAGACAACAAAATAACAGCTTATTCAGAGCCTTTTTTCCTTGCACGGAGTTTTCACTTTTGACCAAGGATGTCAATAAGATGCTAATTTCTAAGGGCCTCTCAGTAATTGGTCAAGCTGGTCATGAAAACCAAATAAGTTTCACTCAGAAAAAAATTACCAACAGTGACAGGACATCACTATCTCATGAAACCTTAAAGATTCTTTCAATGGATGCTCCAATAATCCATTGGTTTCAGGCTGGAGAAAACCTCCCTCATCCCAATAGGATATGCAACAGTGTTTTTTCTTAAATGTGATCAAATGTCTTGACATAAAAGAAGCCAGTGCCTCAATTGCTATGGCCTCTATTTTTTAGCCTAAGCAACTTCTTCTATCTTATTTGGAATTAGTTGCAATATGCAGGGGGTTGATTATCTGGGGAGTAGAGCAAATGTCATGGCAGATTTCAGCCTTGACATACTATAATTCTCAACTAAGGCCATGCCACAAGATGTGGACATTTGCAAGTTAACATTTTGGAATGTAGGTACTAAATCCAAGTTTGTTCTTATCCCTAGCAGCTTTAAACGTTATAAGTCATTGGAGGATTTCTTAAAGTTCTGATAGAAACTAAGGAAGAAATGAAGTCTCCCTAGTCTCATCTAGGTGAGAAGTTAGTGAAAACCCCAGGGATACATTATTTTTTTTTGGCCCTTCCTGGTTCAGTTTGGAATCTAGATTCTCATGCAGTTGAAACAATAACCTTCCCATTTTCGTTTTAGAAGGATCTACTGTACACATTTTTGCAAAGGGACTCACAAATAGCAATGATAGCAACAGTGATTTTATAGTAATACTTGTAAAAGACGGGCTCCGTTGGTTCACAGCATCAGACTCTTGAGTGCTTCGCACAGGCAGCAGAATTATTTCATTATCTTCCAAATTATTCTGTGTGATTTATTCAAGTCTTTCCTCAGGTTTGAAATCAGAAGGATTGTCAAATACTAAGGGTGATAGATCTTTTTTCTGGCCATCAAGGCCACAGAATCGTTCCCACCTGCTGAAAGAGCCTCAAGTGCTACTATATATACGTTGTGATTCCCAGGAAGAAGAGATGAGGAGGAGAACCATACTAGACTTGAGGTGAATGAATCAGCACATAGAATACTGCAGACATTGTATGGAGTCATTGGATTCCATCATGGAATGTCTCATAGGCTGAAACATTCTGATTTCCCTGGACCTTTAGGAGGCCTGTCTGCATATTTTGATCCACCCCTCTCACTCCCAGTTCCTCTGGTTAAAATGTTTGGAGAACTGCTTTTGAGATATTTTTCTCCTTCAGCTTGATGTTAGTTCCTAAAACATTCACTGTTTACATTGGGGATGTTTCTGTGGGATTGGGGAATCCGTGTTTATCTTTTACCTAGATGATTTTTTCATGAGGTCTCTTTTAGCATCTGCTGAGACAATGACTTTGTGTCTGATCAGTCTGGGGATATCAGGCAACCTAGAAAGACACAGCTTTTTCCTGCTCATTTTGCTCTTTGGTACAGTATTAAAAAATTAACTACAGCCTGTATTTCAAAGAACAGGGGAGATAAATTGTAGAGCCTTGTCAGATGCTCTTAACATGTGCTAACTCTAGCTCATCTCTAGGAAGTCATTGTTGTAGGCATAGATGAAGGATCACTCTTGTGTATCCCTCTTGGAACTTTTGCCATTTCTGAGGGAAATAGATGTGAGGTAATGGAAATCACTGCCTGACCGCATTTTCCTAAGTGAATATCTCCAAGATTTCAACAGGAAGAAACGTTCTGCTCATGCTCTCCTCTAACAGTAGTAACCAGCTAGATCAGCTGAGGGGTTATTGCTTCTTCCTTATCAACTTTCTGGAGCTTGAGGCCCTTCATCTGGCTCTGCTTAGCTTCACTCATTGTCTATACCAGTGATGGCGAACCTTTTAGAGACCGAGTGCCCAAAAACCGCCCCGCCCCCTGGCCCGTGCACCTGCTCCGCCCCCTGCTCCTGCTACGCCCTCTGCTCCGCCCCCGCACTCGCAGGGCCACTCACTGCCTCCATGGCCTGCCGCAGATCACCCAGGTGGCCCTGTAGCGCCATGGCAGCCACACCCTCCACCTGCACCCAGCAGCATCATCTGCACGCGTCAGGGCGCGAAGGCGGAGTCTTGTCCCTGCTGCCTGGCTGCCATGTTCTTGGCTGCGCTGCTCCATGCAGGCCGTGCCCGGGGGCGACTCTCTAGGGGGCTGCTGTGAAGAGGGGGCTGTGGAGGGAGGCGGGGCTGGGTCAATGGTGCATGCCCTCAGAGGGCTCTGAGTGCCGCCTCTGGCACGCGTGCCATAGGTTCGCCACCACTGGTCTATACCATTACCACAGAGCCTATTGTAGCAAAATTCAAGTTCAATACAGGTAGTCCTCGACTTACGACCGCAATTGTGACCAAAATTTCTGTAGTTAAGTGAGTTTTGCCCCAGTTTACGACTTTCCTTGCCACCGTTGTTAAATGAATCACTGCAGTTGATAAGTTAGTAACCCAGTTGTGAAGTGAATCTGGCTTCCCCATTGACTTTGCTTATCAGAATGACCCCCAGGACCCAGCCAAGGTCATCAATATGAACCAGTGGCCAAGCATCTGAATTTTGATCACGTGATCATGGGGATGCTGCAAAAGTCGTAACTATGAAAAACAGTCACAAGTCACATTTTTCAATGCTGTTGTAACTTCGAACGGTCACTAAACGAACTGTTGTAAGTTGAGGACTATCTGTACACAATGTTTCAAGTTCAATACACAATACTACGGCATTATACAATAATAACTGGTTCTGGTTTACATGCGAATTCAACTAAAGGACAGATCTTGGGAACAGAACTTGTTCTTAAACTGGGGACTGATTACCTGTATTTACCCTTCATGCTATCTTGGTTATGGATGTGACACTGCTGTGTGATTTGGAAGTATATTAGGAAAAGAAAGCAACTTGTACAGATCGATTATTGTATATAAGTGTCTGTTTTTAAGAACATGAAAAGATATGCAGTATGAACTATACTGTGAATGGTAGGAAGTTGTGTTTGCCTAGAAGAATTCACTTAGATGGCTTTGTTCCTTCTTCTAGTTGTTCCTGTTCCAGCTGCTACGTGGCCTAGCCTACTGTCACCGTCAGAAGGTGCTGCATCGAGACTTGAAGCCCCAGAATTTGCTTATTAATGAGAGAGGGGAGCTCAAACTAGCAGATTTTGGTGACTATTATCAAATCCCTTTTTTGATCTATACCCCAGCAATCTTTGGGCTGACATGCTCCTATTCTTGGTAACTGATGGCCTCGAGGGTAGGAGCGATATGAGGATTGAACCTGATATTTTTCATTCCCATCACACTTCCAATGTTTGGCAATACATTGCCAAATTTCCCTGGTACAATTCTATCAGCTGTAACATTGTTTTAAAAAAGGAGGACGAGGAGGGGGGGAGGGGGAGGAGGAGGAGGAGGAGGCTGGGACCACTCAAATCTTATTTTCTGCTCTGTGGAAGATTTTGCAAATACACTTCTATGTTTTACAGGACTAGCCCGGGCAAAATCTATCCCCACCAAGACCTACTCCAACGAGGTGGTAACACTTTGGTACCGACCGCCTGATATTCTGCTGGGCTCGACAGAATATTCCACCCAGATTGACATGTGGTACGGATTCTTCTATCTGACTCCCTGAATGTTCTTTCTTTCTTTTTTTAAAAAACATTCCCTAGGATAACTGATTCATTTGCCACACTATAGGACACTCAATTCAGTGATACCCACTGAATACCACTTTTTTGATACCCAGTTCAAAAAGTATTCCTATTTTTTTTTTTAAAAAAAAACCCCATGAAATAATTAATTTAGTTAATTAGAAGTTTTCGGAAAATATGTCTTGCATTTTTCCCCATCATCTTTGAAAAGGTCCAGCCTTTGTTCTTCTTGGTTTGTACGCAGAACTGAGGCTCTGTGCCTTGTCCATTAATAAACATACACTTTAAGCCAGGGGTCCCCAACCCCTGATCCGTGGACCAGTACCGGGCCGCGGCATGCCAGCAACCGGTCCACACAAACAAGGAAGGCCCCGTCTGCAGGATGCAGCCAGCACACAAAACACACTCTCTGATCCGTGGAAAAACCTCTCTCCGTGGAACCGGTCCCTGGTGCCCAAAAGGTTGGGGACCTCTGCTCTAGGCCACTTAGAGCTCAGGAAGGAAATTGCTATAGAACAGAAAAAGAGGATTGAAGCTATAGGGAGGTGCTAAATGCACAGATGCTGGCCCCCTAAAGCAACTATCTTCAGTTTGGGTCTCCCCAATTCCAGTCAACTCCTGCAATACAGTACAAGTGGTCCTTGCTTAACAACCATTCATTCAGTGAGCGTGCAAAATTATGATGACATTGAACAAGTGGTACTTAATGACCGGTCTTTGTACTTACGTTGTTCACAGTGTCTTTGCGATCTGAGCCCATGGTTGCTCGGCTCACAGTTATGACATTGCAGTGTCCCACGGTCACATGATCACCATTTGTGACCTTTTCCGCCAGCTTCTTCCAAGCAAAGGCAAGGGAGAAACCGTGTATTATCCTCACCTGACAACGCGCATTGATTTGCTTAATGATGGCAAGCAGAAGTGCCAGAATTTCTGTCACTAAGCAGTACATTCACATGATGTCGCTCTTTGGGATCACACTGCTTACTGACAGAAATCCCCATCTCAGTTCCCATCGTGAGGGCTACCTCTAGTGGTTTTTAAACTGTATTGTGGGACTCTCAGGAAGCATAGCTTCAGTTCTATAAAGCAGAGGCTCTTCCCAGCAGACAAATCAACTTATCCACTTGAACTGATATTTACCGTAATATACAGATGATAATATTTAATGTTCTGAGGAGGACAATAATTTGAGGCTCACTGGTTCTGTCAGCGTGGTCTCTGCTGATGAGCAGTGCATACATTTTCTAGAACGCCTCTACTGCATTCTTCAAGGAACAGGGATTGACTTTGTAGAGATGAATTCAATGATCTATTTAAAATCCTAAGTATATTTTTGGATGTTTTCAAAATTCCACATAATTGGGGTTATTTTTCAGTGTCGGAAGCACTAAAGTGCTCCTGTGGCTAAAGGATTTGCCGGAGACATCACTTGCCTGGGGGACATCCAGTTGGGGGCTCCTTTTGTACCCCCATGAAGTTGCCCACTGAAATGGTACCCATTAAACTACTTGCAGTTGCCCGCTTTCGAACTGCTGGGCCGGCAGGTCCTGGAACATGTGACAGGAGCCCCTCCCCAATGGCAGCAACGGGTTTTGAACGCAAGGCTGCCGATCATCAAGCCCAGGGTTCTAAACTTGTGAGCCACCACATATTGGTCATTAGAAACATTAATTGCCTTAACTCTCTTTTAGCAGAATGTACAAATAGATTTACCCCATTCCCCCCTTTTTGATACAGACTATTATATATTGTAAGGCAAATTTTTGATTTTTGAAAAGATAGTTTCCAATATCAGAATCATTGGCTGATTAGCAAAATCTGGTAATAGAAATGTTTTGTTGGTCTACAAGTGATTTTGTTGAATCGTCACTACAGAGAGAAGATAGAAGAATTAGGAACTTTAACTGATAGCACAAAGTTACAGTCTTTCCTATTTTCTTGGGCTGATAATGACATCTGCCTGCCTTTCTCCACAGGGGTGTGGGCTGCATTTTCTATGAGATGTCCACAGGGCGGCCGCTCTTCCCAGGCTCCACAGTTGAGGAGCAGCTGCATTTCATTTTTCGGATATTGGGTAAATATCTGCCAGGGTTGCATTGCTGAGAAATCAATGGAGAAATGGGAGGCAGAGGAAATGAAGACCATCAGACAGGTTGATCTATAATTTCATAATGGAGGTTTAAGAGTTTCTTCGGGGATACCAATTAGAATGCCATAAGTTGATCAAAGACGAAGCACATTTTTAAAAACACTCCCAGATCAGCCTATCTGTCGCTTAAAAAATGTGTCTCTGGTCTCACTTGGAATTTAAAAGACACAATACAGAAGAAGGAAGGGATCTGGAACAAAAATGGGGGAAAAAACCCATTCCTATCAACTGGGTCGAAAGCTATCCAGGAGAAGGAGAGTCCTGTGTCTTGGCTATGCTGCTGAAATGATCTTGTTTCTCATCTTGTTTGCTGCTGTCATGTGACATGGACATTGGAAGTCACTTTTTTTACTCCTTTTCAGAATTCTGCTTCTTCTCTCTGTTGCCAGGGACACCCAATGAAGAGACATGGCCTGGAATCCTGTCCAATGAAGAATTCCGAGCGTATAATTACCCCAAATACCGTTCTGAGGCCCTGATCAACCATGCCCCTAGGTGAGTGTCAGCCTGTAGTTCAGTTGTGGTAGCTTTTGATGGGTGACGAGCTGCTATAGTCATCTCATAAAAGAGAAGGAGAAAGATAGCTGTGTCCTCAGAAGAGTTGGGATAGGACATTCTGGACAATTTCACGTGTATCCTTTCAACCATTAAGAATAGAGACTTCTTTAAGAAGAAAAGAGACACATGGACTCACTGTGCAGCCATGGGTAACTTTTCTTGCTTTTTCCCTCTCAGAGGGAGTGTTGAAAGAGTAAAGTACAAGATCCTCCTTGGATCTTGTACTGAAGGTATTTTCAGTTCAGTTGGTCTTTTTTTCAGTAGAGAGGCAGGCATAGAGTTTTGCCTGGGGTACCTTCTTTGCTCAATTCCAGGCAAGACACAAATACGTACATGGGGTGTGATTTTTCAGAATGCATGAATGAGCATTTGGCCAAAATCTTTGTGTTTTATTGGGAAGAAAGAGGTGTTAACAAGACCTTTGCTTGGGCCTTGGCTCCCAAAAGTGGAAGAAACATCGATGACTCTTTGGTGCAGTTCCAAATTAATATTTGACTTAGGGCAGTGGTGGCGAACCTATGGCACAGGTGCCAGAGGCGGCACTCAGAGCCCTCTCTGTGGGCATGTGCGTCGTCGCCCCAGTCCCAGGCCTTCAGCTGGGTTTTATAAAACCTTTTCGCTTTAGGCCTCCACCGCCGTGTGCAAAAAAAAAAGGTTCAATCAATCAATCAATTTCAACTTCTCACGGGAAAACAAAAGATCTTGCAAAGTTGGAATTGATTGATTGAACTTTTTAGTCCCACCCAGTCTGCCATTACCACTGCAGCCACGCCCACCCAATGGGCCACACCCACCCAGCACTCGACGATGCATAAGTGGGTTTTGGGTTGCAGTTTGGGCACTCGGTCTCTAAAAGGTTTGCCATCACTGACTTAGGGACATGAAGTATTTTACATCTTCAGTCAGGAAGACATCGGATAGCAGCATCAGTGTCAGAGAGTAACAATCCCAGGAAGTAAAGCCTCAGTTCTCCTCGCGAAATTATGAATTTGACCTTTCTTTTCTCTCCTAATTGTGCAGGCTGGACAATGATGGGGTTGACCTTTTAGGAAAGCTGCTGCAGGTGAGGTGTTGTTGTTGTTGATGCTGCTGCTGCTGCTATTATTATTATTATTATTATTATTATTATTATTATTATTATTATTGGTCTGGTTGGAGAATTAGGGTTTAGAGGTCTCTGACCCTCTCTTCTAGGAATCCTAAACTCCTCACATTCCTTTCCCATCCTCAAGCAGAGGAAAAATCTTCCCTGCTATGGCAAGCAGGCAACAATCAATTTAATTAACAAATAGAGATCATATAAAGAAAGCATTGTCTTGTTGTCCCCAAAGAATAAATGTGCTGGACAAAGTGGGCTACTAATTCAGACCTCAGGTGACCTCAAGTAAAGGTGCTTATCTTCAAGGACTATTGCAGAGTTATTTTGGGGGGAATGTATGCATGTATGTGCGTATGCACAAACAAAAACAAACTTCAAAGTGGAATACATGAAAAAGGATCCATCAAGTGGATCTGTCATAGAACAGGTGCTCCTGCAGAAATAATTCTGCTTTGTTTGCTTTAATTCCTCAGTGTAGAACAGGCATGTCAAACTGCCAGCCCGCGGGCTGGATGCATCACAACGAAACCGCGCCCACCCCATTGCCGGCAATGGGGAAAAAGTCGCGATATGTTGTGCGACGTCACGTGACATTGCGAGTTTGACATGCCTGGTGTAGAACCTGCTGATATGGTATGTGACTGTAATTTGAGAAGTAGAAGAGCTTTTGAACGCCATGTGTTTCAGCCCCTCTGCTTGCTCTGCAGGTCATTGCTGGCAGGGTTTTATTCATCTGTCTGTTGGTCAAAATAGGTGAAACTTTTGATCCACTAATTCAAATATTCTGCATTAGGCATGGATGACAGCCTGCCATAGGCAGCTCCTGTGGGTTGTTTGCGACCAGCCTGGAAGTGTAAAATCTGTGTATTTAAAAAACATTGTGCGATATGTGGTCGACACTTGATTAGAAATATTTTTACAATTCATAGTATTCTGGTAACTGAAGATAGTTAAAATCTTTGGGCTTTTCCACCCAGTTTGGTCTACTTGTTAAGGCACCAGGCTAGAAAGTAGGAGACTGATTTCAAGTCCCTCCTTAGCCATGACAGCCAACTGGGTGATTTTGGTCCACTCTATCAGCTCAATTCACCTCACAAGGTTATTGTGGGGGAAATAGGAGGAGGAAGGTATATTGAATTATGTTCACCACCTTGAGTTATTTGTAGATATAAATAAAAATAAAACATTTTGCACATTGCCTGCATTCTGGGTCAGCATCTCAGTTTTGTTCTAAGATTTCTCTTGTCATAAACATTGGGAGGAGATACAGGTATCTGAGTAGTTGTGTTTTGATGTTATGAGGGAATTTTTTAACACTATTTCCTTTTTGGAGATTGGGGGGCACAGTTTAACCTGTGACACCAACAATATGATAACTAAATGGTTAGGCTCCCTTTTGGGGAAAAAATTCTTTTGTATTAGGAGCAAAAAGCTAGACGCATTAGCAGCCTTCATCTAATCACTATTTTCTATTTTCTCTCCCCAAATGCAGTTTGAGGGCAGGAAGCGGATCTCTGCAGATGAGGCCATGCGTCACCTGTTCTTCCACAGTCTGGGAGAGCGGGTCCTCAAACTTCCAGACAGTAGGTCCAGGCGGAAGAGGGAGGGAGGGAGGCCAGAGATGTCGAGTAGTGGTTGAGCGAATGACAACAAGGTTAAGAGAAGGGTGTGTGATGGAAGCATGAAGTGGATGGTAAAAGGACCATGAATTCATTTGAATGCTATGAATAACATCTCCATCTGGTCCTATCAACTTCTTATCTGTTACGATGTAGTGGTTAACTGACAAGGATGTTTTCATTGATGGGTTAAGAATTTAAGGGCACCCATGCTCTTTTTTTGCAGTTATTTTGTTTCTCAGCTAATCCAGTGGATTAGTGTAGTGCACTGTTAAAGGCCGGGGAGAAAATCTGATCAGTTACATCAGCATATGAGAACTATCTTCATAATGTCTTATCAATTTATAATCACAGAAGACCGACGATCTAGATCTGGTAAAAATGTTTACCATTTGACTCTCTGGCACGTTGTATGAAGAGTCTCTTCCTTAGACTTGCACCTCACCGACCTGCTTCCTGCTTCTTCTGTCCTTGTTATTCAGCCCAGCTTTAATTACCCTGCACTTTAGTTTTCCTATCTGCTGAGAAGATCTCATTTTCTTATCTGGGGGCTCTTCCTCATGGTGGCAACGAAGTGCTGCCATCCAAAACAGGACTGTCAGAAATATATGCTGGCCTAAAGAAGGACTGACCTCAGTTCCACCTCCTTCTCTGCCTCAGCAACAAGGCAGAAGAAGGGCAGGGAGGAGACTGAATGGGGAACACCTTCTTCGGTGTCAGCTGCTGGCAGCAGAAGACTGCAGGACTGTCAGCTTGGTGATCTCATAGAGCAGACATGTCAAACAAGGCCCGGGGGCTGGATGCGGCCCGTGAAGCCATCCTGGAAACAGTGAGGGAACAGCCCCCGCTGCCTTGGCCCAGGCCCAGACCAGCTGGGAGCCAATGTACAATTTTGTGGTGGCCATCTTGGCACTTGCCCCGGTGGACCATGCCTTGGCACTTGCCCCGGTCCCACCCCCTTCTGCCAGAGACCCTCAGATCTGTCCCACTCCTGCCCAGGCCCCCACAGGCACCCTTGATGCGAATGATGTAGAACTGGCCACGCCCACCCAGTAGGCCACACCCACTCCATCCACGCCCACCCGGTAGGCCACACCCACTCTGGCCACACCCACATGGCCCCCCAAGGGCGACTGCAATGCTGATGCGGCCCTCAGTGAAATTGAGTTTGACACCCCTATCATAGAGTGAGCTGTCCATGGAATTAGAGATGCCCAGGGATCCTCCTCCTCTTCCTCCTCCTCCTCCTCCTCCTCCTCCCTCCTCCCCTCCTCCCCTTCTATCCATGACATGAAAAGCAAAAGAGAGGCGATGAGTCCAGAAGTAACAAATCTGTGAGACTGGAAATCTGGCAGTGAAAGTACCATCCTTCTCGTGTGTGAGAAGAAGCAATGGGAGAGAAAGACAGGAAGCAGTTTTATTTCCACTCTCTCTTCCCTCGTCCCGGCCACTTTTCCTTCCTAAGCTTATAAGTAGCAGGGAGCTAACTGCAGAGTTGCAGTTCTACTCCAGTGTCCTCCCCTTGGGGAAGGAAAACAGGGAAAGAGTCTCTTTTGGCACAAAAAAGCTACTTTCCCTCGTTTTCTTGCTTTTCCCATCATCTGTGGTTTGGCAAAAGAGGTGGGAAAGGTGGCTTTTTGGCACGGCAAGAGATCCCATGTTTTCCCATCCACAAATCCCTCCCACAGAAAAGTCAGTGACTAATGGATGGGGTCGCATAGGCGTCCTGCCCCTAACTTTATCTTCCCCTTCCAAACCCCTTCCATTCCTGCTTATGTCGGAAGAAACTGGCAAACATCACTTTAAAACTGGATCAGGACGATGGGCTCAGGCTGCCTTCTTGGTAGGTCTGCTGAGGGCAGCCCAACATTATCTGGACAAGCCTTCTGTAATCATTTAGAAATAGATATCTATCTGTGGTTAGCAGGTTGTGGGGAAGAGACCTTAGAATTTCCATGTAGGAGCTATTTGAGGTTTTCGTTTCCATAACCTAAATTCTGATATTTATTGTTGATGAATTTATTCTCTTAAGAATTTTAGATACTTATTGAGAATTCATAGCGTCACATTCAGTGAAACTTCACCTTCACATGTTTTACACAATCTATTGTGACAACATTTTTTGTTGTTATACTTTCCTTTAATGTGTTACTTTATGTACCGCTGCTCTAAGGGTTTCAAATGGGCCAATAACTGAGAACTGGATAGTATGCAACATATATTTCATCACATGCCATAGTGGAAGCACGGACATTCGTTAACTGAGTGATAACTTTTCATTTTTCCATACCTCAAAGCTCAGTGAAGAATGCATGTTTTGAATTTAAACAGGTTGGTATGGCCGTTAAGGCATCAGGCTAGAAACTGGAAGGCTGTTAAATTCTCTTCCTGCTTTTAGGCACAAAGCCAGTGAGGGGACTTAGGTCAGTCACTTTAGAAGGCAACGGCAAACCATTTCTGAAAACCTGTCACGAAAACTGCGGGCACTTGTCTAGGCCAGGGGTAGGCAACCTTGGCTCTTTTATGACTCGTGGACTTCAACTCCCAGAATTCCTGAGCCAACCATGACTCAGCTTGGAAACCTCTCCCTTTCCCCTCAGCATGGCTGGCTCAGGAATTCTGGGAGTTGAAGTCCACGAGTCATAAAAGAGCCAAGGGTGCCTACCCCTGGTCTAGACAGTCTTTGAGAAGCAACATGATTGATCAGAAGGAAACAAATGTCTGCCACCTCCCTTAATGGGATAAAATCCATAAAAATGGATTCAAAAATTTGCCAACACACATACACTGTCTCTGTCTGTCTGTCTCTATTTCTCTCTCTTTATTTCTCTCTCTGTTTCTCTCTCTCACACACACACACACCCCTGTAGTCAAATTGCTTTTATCCTTTTTATCAGTTCACATGCTAGCATGATAGAATAGCAGGCCTAGTAATTTGGGGTTATCTCACTGGCTTTGTGTCTTTCTTTTCTTCCCCTGTAGCAACATCAATATTTGCACTAAAGGAGATTCAGTTACAGAAAGAGACTGGGCTGAGATCTGCTTCCCTGCCTGAATCAGGTGAGAAGTGGTTGTCAAGCAATTCTGTCAACAGGAGCCCCTCCGCTTTTTCATTAGCCCCCCAGTTTTGAATAAAATTCTCTTCCTCCCCCTGAATTGGTGGCCCACATTTCTTGGTACTGAAAGGGCATCTTGATAGCCCCTTCCTATCTGTTGCCTCTTCCTGTCTCCAAAATCTTGCTCTCTTGGAGAAGCAGTCTTTTCCCATCCCCCTGCTTAACACTACACCTCTGTGTGTGTGGTTATGCAGTAACCACTCTCACCTCTCCCACAAACAGCAACCATGTTCCAGTTAGGGGACACTGAATTGTAGCCACCAGGCCAGGTATCTGTGCCCCACCCACTTCCATTTGCACTTCTTCCTGTTCTCAGCATCATGAGTTAGCACCCTCCCCTCTCTCCCAGTCACCCTGACTAGAGTCTTCCTGGCACCTCTGTTTCAAATCTGACTGAGTCTTTTTAGCTCAGTGCATCCCCAATTCAAAGTTTACCCCATTACTTTAAAGCTAATGAAATTTGGGATCAGAAGAAGGGAAAGTGGAACAAAACGATGGAGGAGGGTGGGGAAGGAACCAGGATGCAAAAAGCACGAGGCATCGGAACCTTATGATCTTGAGACTGAATTGCCGTTGAATTGAAACGCCCTTGTTCAAAACCCAACTTGGAGTTGCTCTGATCCGGTGGCGTTAAGCTAGCCGCACTTTCTAGCCCACAATTCTTCCATCCATAAAATGGGGCTAAAAATATTGGACCTACCCAACGTGGCTGCTTCATCAGGTTGCTGAGAGAATATGAAATTTACATCCATATTACACAGAAACTGTAATTCCAGATTGCCCAAAGCATTATGACAAAAGGCTCAGTATTACTATGAGACAGGGAGACACTACCAGGTTGGGGAGGAAATGTTAGAAGGAATCTGGGGGGAATGTTAATGGCCTCAACCTCTAAAACGGTGCTTTTCAAACTTGGCAACTTTAAGATGTGTGGACTTTAACTCCCGAGAATTCTGGCAGTTGAAGTCCATCCGTCTTAAAATTGTCAAGTTTGAGAAGAAAAAAAAAACTGATCTAGAAGTTGGGGGAAGGCGCAAAATGCATTCTATCGATAACACTTTTGCTGTTTCCCTACAGTGAATGGTCAGAATGGACGACCAAGCCTGCTGCTTTGAAGCCTACAGTTCTGGGTTGGCAAGGGTAGAAAGAAGCCAGGTTTCCCCCCCGCCCCCACCTCACGGACTATCTCCACTGGTGGCTTCTTGGTATTGAACTGTGGCATGAGGACCTTGTGCTGGGAATTTGCTGGGGCAAAGGTGGGGGCCCCTGGAACTGAGGAGAAACGTGACCGCTCCTGGCACCAACAAGCCAGCCACCGATTCTCTGTGCCGCTGGGACGGACTCTCCCTCCCTCCCTCTCACACACACGGTGTTTCATTTTATTTTTTAAGTTTTATTTTTTCAATGCAATATTATAAATATTATATTTACAAATATCTATACAGAGAGAGAGAGAGACACCCCCGCACCCTAGCCTCTCCATTAATGGGGGGGTGTACAGTATTAACTATGAGGGAGCCAATCCCCTCCCTGTCTCATCCCAGTAGTGGGCCAGGTGGAGGGAGGAGAAGCACTAGGGCCAGAGTAGTTCCATCCTTTGCACTCCATAATCTAGGAATCGATGGGATTGGGGAGGTTGTTAGTATTTCGGATGATGAGTGGACTCCTCCTTCCTAGCTAGAATCACTTTCTTTGGACGTGGTGGGTGCTCTGTTTTCCTGGCCTAACCGTGTATTTTGAAGTCCAGGGGTGGACCAGGCAACCAGAGGTCCTCTTGAGAATTCGCAAATCTTTGGAAAGATGGTCCTTCTTTTTTCCTGTCTTCTTTCTTATTGGAACTTTCTGGCTGCAAGGGTGCCCTCTTTCCAAACTCTTTTTGATCAGCTTCGGAGCTGCTTCCACCTCCTTCTCACACCAAAGTGGAGTCTCCTTTTTGATCCCTTGGGTCTTGACTGGTGCCTCGCCTAGGCTTGTGCTTGGTTAGTGCTCTCAATCCTGACTTAACTCCTGTTCATCTGTTACGGCTCTTATATTACTTGCTTGGTACTCAGGGTTTGCATTTCTTCCTTTGCCTTTCCAGACGCAGTCCACTGACTTCTAGTCCAGACACAGGCATCAGCTATTCGAGTAGGCCTTGTGCGGGAAATTCCCAGTGGATTGTGCCTTGTTCTCTCACCACTGTTCTTTGTTTTCTATGTATACTACAGTCCCTAGGTGATCATGACCTGTAGCTTGTCTTACATTTCTTATATCCAAATGACTATGTTAGAATGGGCCCATCAATATCTTTCTCTGATGCTGTGGTGCTTATTTTGGTATGGAAACCTTGGCACTTTCACAAAGGTTTTGGACAACACCACCCCTCAACCTCAGTAAGCAGGACCAGCAGTTGAGGAATATGGGAGTAATCATCCAAAACTAGAACTATAAAATGCCAGCCTTTATTTGGTCATCTTCATGCAAATCATTTGCCTTGTCTCAGTGCTGTTTAGATTTTCATATCAGTTCCTACAATTTTCAGTCCCATGGTTATCATTGTAACAATTTACAGTAGCAGGTTCTTAGTGCTTAGTTATGTAGCTTACATAATTCCCATTAATTCCCATTCTGTTTTGAATCCAAAGTAAAGAAGAAAGAACATCTGTTCTGCAGTCAGCCACACCAATTATCTCTTCTACCATTGAGAATCAGACATACTTAAGAGGCAATGGGCCCTTTTCCCCAGCTATGTTTTCACTGGTTTCAAAGATTGTTCAATTCCTGTCTGTGCTTCTTCTGGAGGAACTGGCCCCCTTTGCTTTAACCAACATCCCTCCAAAACTATCTGCTTTTGGGATTGACTTTTTACTCAGAAGACTCTGATGCCCTTTCCTTCTGCTCTGTGTATTGCAGTCTTGGGCTCTTTAGAGATTCATCCCTGTATGCCAGAGCCTTCAATATTTAGAGAAAAAAGTCTCCATGGGACCTGCCTGTGTTTGGACTCCCTCTGCTTCCACTTCTCCTACAACTAGGAGAGCTGATTTACAGGAAAAGGGAAATGCCCAACAGTATCACAGCTTCCCAGGCCAGGACTGTTCCTTTATGCTCAGGGCACAGAAACTTCAGTGCACAGAACTGAAGGGTGGAGATATATATGTAACCATATTTTATATGCAGCATGAAGCGCTTATAAGGTTCCAAGATCTTCCCTTGATGAGAGCCATAAGAGGAACTGTTCTAGTTACTGTTACAACGCTCAGGCAACTTAAAAAGGATTTCTAAAAATGCCTACAGAGAACATGCAGAGATGTAGCCGACCTTGTGCACTGGGATGCCAGGAGTTTGCGCTGCTGGTGACCTCTTGCCTTGACATTCAGATGCTGCTGCCCATGCCGTGGGAACATTTGCAGAAAAATCTAGCCTACAATACTTTGCCCAGCATTCACCTCTGTGCATAGGCTGAAAGTAACCAGTGCTCGGCTCAGGGGATAAGAAGGTTGTGTTTACACAGGCATCCTAATAAGCAGGAAGGACCAGCCTCTTCCCTTCAGCCTAGTGAATATCTACAGGTCTTTTTTAGCCCCCTAACCTTGCATGATCCTTCCCTCAGTTATTGCCTACTAGGTTTTTGACTATGGCCTCCCGGGTCCTTCCTTTTGTCTCCTCTTTCAACTGCACCTTAGAATCAGAAACCTCTAGTTGAGAGATCATTTTCTTGTCCCTTCTGATCAGAGTTCTCACCTTCTTCCCTGCAACATGTCTCTGAAGCGCCCTGGACCTAGTGGTTCAAAATGTTTATCTGCTTCAAAACTGACCTGTTTTTAGTAGGTCTGAAATGAGATCACACTTCCAGCAGGAACTCACCAGCCATAATACGTATGTTTTGTTACTTCCATTCTTGCAGACATAATCTGTCAATATGATACAGCACTAGACTTGGTTTGCTGCCAGAATCTTGATTGTAGATGTACAGTGAGTCTATAGCTGAGGTTGCTCAGTTTAAAATCCTGAAAAACGGGGGAGATCAGAAGACAGTTTAACTAAGGTTTACTGAATGCAGTGTTGAATCATAGGTAATACAAACTGTGGATTCAGGACCCCACTTGAGACCATGGTTTTAAGGGCTGATTTGCGGCATTCTTTACCCATTGTTAATCCAAATAGACCTCAACCCTAGTGGAGGACCACAAACCATAGCTGATTAAATATTGAGTCTATATGGGACTGATAGGAATTCATATTATGCTGTGGTTGAGTAGATTAATGGAGAAATATGGCCAAGATATACAGGGCTACCTTTGCGAGAGGGGTCCAGAATCTAAACTGGTTTAGTTTATGGAATTCCCATTCTCTTTCTTTGCTGAAAGAGAAGAAGTGAAGTTCTTGTAGCCGAGATGTGATACATGAGGTATTCTGCAAACACAAATAGGCTTTATTGAATTTTCAGGAATTTGGGGAAGTGTGAGTTCAGAATAATACTGACAATTTGGGAGCAGTTTAGGGCCTAAACTGGATTCAGGATTCTCAGAAGAGACAGCAGGAACAAATGCCATGATGGCTAAACCAGTTTGCTTATAGTATGGATGTATTCTTAATCCAACCTATTATGAGAGCTTTTATGTGAGAAGAAAACTGAAGATGGCCTGTTGGAAAATGAATGTACAGAGGATTTGGATGTTGCTTTTGAGGAGGGTGGGGAAGGGCAAAGCCTCATAATTTGTTTCTGGACTGGAGACAAGCAATCAAACCTCTTCTTGCAGGAAACAGAAACCCAGGAATGGATAATCATTAGCATATGGAATGGACTAGCTCCATGAGCCTCCCCCACCTCAATCCTACTTCCCTCCACATCTCAGTGGAGTAGATACGGAGTTTGTTCTCCTAGTGTGGAAGAAGAAACTCTGTTGTTGTACATAACTTGAATTGGGGGAGAACTTTCTGTTTCAAAGAGCAAAGTTTACCATTATAGAAGAAAAGTCCCTAAGGAACAAAATGAACTATCTTTTCTCTCCCCCCTCATGCTCTGTCCACCTTCTTTGGGGTTAATTAATGCACCATATCCAAATGTATGGAACTGATTAAAAGTCTCCAACAATCTTTGGTGTATGCTGTGTTGTATTTAATCCTGCGTTAGGATTATGGATCTTTTTCTTCAGTAGAAGAGGAAAACCTTTGACTGCCTTTTAGATATTTTCTGCTGCTACTGATATTCCCAGATGTTCAGTTCATATCAGTAGGCACTGCAAAGCACCCTCAGATTTCTCAGGAGCAAACCATGGAAATGACATGCTGACTCCCAAGCAGGTTTACCCATTGATGGGGCTCTGGGGAACCCTCCAAGGTCAGGTTTTTGCCTTCATGAAGTGCCAGCCAGTTGATGGGGAAAGGCTGTTGCCAGATTAGATAACAGCCTTCCATAAAGAATACCATATAATCAGTGTACCTCAATAGAGCCACTGGAAAAGAGCCTGTCCTGCTGGAAAACATAATTTCTGTTCATACATGTCATGGGACATGGGGAAAAAAGTCATTTTGAATGAATATAGTTTTCCATGACCAACGTGGCTTAATGGCAGACAGTCATACAACATGCTAAGGTCCAGTTACCCAACATTTTGGGGTTGGTGTTTGGAATTTTGAGAAAATAAAGCTGCTCTGCTGGAGAAAATTGTTACTTTACAAAAAGGACTGCCACAAATTTATCAATCTCTTAAAAAGTAAGATGGATTTAAAGCAACCTACAACTTTAGTGATTCCTATAATCTGTGTTTATTTTGCCTTGTGTCTGTGCAGGCATTTCTATTTTCTAAAAAGTGAGGCTAGTGGGTGCCAAGGAGGGTATGAGTAGGCATGCTGGTGCTGTGGGAAACATTTGTGAGGATTAATGCTAAGCTGTAACTGGCCTCCTAATAGCTTAGGAAATGATTGCCATGTTTGGCCCACTGAAGTAGAAATAATTTAGGATTTGCACTTACAGTTTGCAATGATGTTGGAATTGGCAAACTAGTAAACCTGCTTTCTTCACAACAGAATTTGCTCCATCGTTGCAATGACTAAATCTACACAAAGTGAAAGTAAATGCTTTGAAGTTTCATCCATAGTTCTAAACTTGGGACATAAGTGATGTGTATATTCAGGTTGTTGTGCAGTGCTGTCTGTTGCATGGGAAGGGTAGTTTGAAAGAATCAAAAGTAGCCAACTGTTCTAGCGTCAACTCTAACTGACAAAAGATAAAGATAAGGTGTAGAAGGTTGGTGTAAGAAAAGTCAGTGAAAGAAAGAACTGCATGGACTTAATTTC